GTAGGCTCGAAAAAAGCCGAAGAAGGGCATTCGCGAATTTGAGGTGTATGGAGTAAATAACACACAGTAAGTGTTATTGGAGCAAAAAGTTAGTTCCCACTGAGTGCAACAGATGGCTCTTACGGTCGATCAGAATCTATAAAGTGATGAATCTAGGGGATTTCTTGACTTTATTTCATCTCGAGTACTTCCTTTCGTACAATTTTCAATGTAGTGCGACACAGCTGCCATAAATATAACCGTCGATAACATGACGCGCTATTTCAGATAGTACATCAGGTAGATTTACTTGTCTTTACCGACAACGATTAAGTTTCTCAGTGCCTTTCGCATCACCTTAATTATATGGAATTGGTAAAATGGAATCTCACAAGGTTCTCTTTGTTTGAAGTCGCTGCAATCGTTGGCGCAACGTCGAGAAAGTTACTTCAAGACCAGAAAACATTCCCACTTTCTCTCTCCCTCTTCTCGATAATATTTTCTTCACTCCCTCTTTATAAATCATCTCCAGACTTTCGTTCTTTTCCATATCTTTCTTTTTCCCTTACTAACAGTTGAAGAAAATCGAAGCCCAGCTGGATTGAGTCTTGGATTTGCATCGAAGAGACTCAATGCAGCTTTGCTTCGTTGCTGCTGGAATCTACTTACCGATCCAGCTGGATTCAGTAAAGAAGCTGAAGCAGTTCTTGCTCCAGTCACCGGATGGCGTTACTCGAAAGCTTGTCCGAGTCGCGCCTTTTCCTTTTTTTTTCTTTTTTTTAATGTACGGTTAACGTACTTAATGTACGTTTTCGATGATTTTATGATTTCAAGAGAGATTTATGAGTTGCAGATTTTCGCCGTTTTCAAGGCCAGCGAATATTTGCAATCCGACTTAGAAAAGCTCTCAAGTAACGTCAACCAATTAGTGCTAGGAAACGCAAAGCCTCGCCAGAGGAGACTGTCTTCGATCAGGTAGTGCTGACTTGATTAGAAAAGTGGGTTCATGTCCGAGTTCTAAGAAGAGAGAGGAAGAAAAGAGGTTACCGACATTACAGTTTCACAAGTACTTGTCAGAATTGATATGAAATACTGAATATATTTTTTCTATTTTTCCTATATTTTTCTATTTATTTTTTTTTTACTATTAAATATATGTATAGATGTCTATACTCGAAGGATCATTTGTTGATTAACATATTCGCGACCGGCAAATTTTTTCCGTTTCAAATACTGAGCACCGGCGAAAATAATGAAATTCTGAAACTGGTTGCCGCAAACTTGTATCGTGTATCGTTATGGACGTGAATTGACGTCAGCGGCAGACAGGAATAGAATTTAAAATGACGTGAATTCACGTCAGCGGCAACCAGGAATAGAACTTTAAAAGACGTGAATTCACGTCAGCGGTCGCGAATGTGTTAAGAATAATTGACTCTATTAGAGTTTTCATGAAAATGTAAGGATGAAGAACATTGCCTGAGATTCATCTAGTTTCTTTAAGGCATTAAGTATGAATAAGAGAAATCTGTTCTTTTTTATTATTTTTCTTTTCTCTTTTTTTCCCCTGAAAATTTCATCTTCGAGTGTAATTTTCGTAGCCGTTAGTCACTTGGACCCAGATATCAAATCTTTGGACAGGATGGATAAATGAATAGTAAATTCGACTTGGCAAATACTAACTGGGCATTTGACAATGAACCTCTGCGTACCACCATTCGAAGTCAGTCTTTTCCAGATAATTCGAAACTATTTCTTTCCGTAGCTCAGACCAGTCGATGGCTGTCAATGGCCGGACTCACTGTGTGGACTTTAGTCACTACTGCAACCTGTCGCTTGGATGAACAAAGTTTCTGATATAAATCCATTAAAGAAATAAGTCTTTGTGCTGTATTTTTCCTTCTTTTATTTTATTTTTTTTTTAATATGTACGTACTTATTCAATGCGATTCTTTACTGTATCCCGGTACAGTGATCCGTTACGCTGCTTCAAAGCTTACGGAGATACTTTTCTTATAACTCTTATATCTTGCTATTAATATCAAGTACATGAATTAGAAATTCAGGATTGCCAATTAAAGAGAAAAGGAAGAAAATTTAATTAATGCATTCTTTAGTGGATTAGTCGATATCATTCCATCGATGCTGAAACATTTCTATGCAGATTGAAAAGTAACATCCCATGTATAAGGTGGCTTGATGGCATTTTTTAAATCACTGGTCCATTCCTGGTGGTTTTCAAAATGAATGGAATTACATTCTTCAAATTTATTGTTAATATCAGCTGCGATGACTCCGATGCGTCAACCCTTTATTCGCTGGACCATAGTTGTAGCACATCACTCCGGTGTTCCATTAAGTTATTTAAATATGCTGGGTATCGATCTTAAATGCTAGAAAGGTACCCAGAACGAAATTTAAGAGCTAATGCAAGATTATTGTTGCGCACGGTAATTCATTTTGGATGAGCAACTTGCTATCGGTGAATCAAGACAAACAAGGAATCGAAGTACCGGCTCAACTTTGATATCGATACTTTGCAGGAACGCAGTCATTTTAAGGTGATGTGAAAGGCAGACATGAATGGTTAGTTGCGCGGATAAACCTTTTGAATAGATGGATGAAACGATTCGTCTTAAATTTTAATACATAATTATAGAGATGCTATAACCTCATGATAAAAAAGCTGTCATGTATTTAGCATAGTCCAAAACCAAGTCACGTATTGTTATCGTTGTGCACTTGTAGAAAGCTCTAAAGTAACAGTTGAGAGTGTTAGATATTGTGCTCAATCAACTTAAGGGGTTACACCACTTTGACCCACCCAAAAATTACGATTTTTCAAGAATTTTTTTGTTAAGAATTAAAACGTTTTTATCCAAATTAAAGATCAGTAAGGTATTATACTACTATTAAACAATAAAATGTTTTTTTTTGTATTTTTTTTATTTACAAAAATGGAAGCTTGAAAGGCAATTTACCGGAGTCCTGCGAAAATCGATGATCGTGCGGTGGGCACGATAACTCAGTCCAGGTTTAAGTTAGAACAATGAACGAAAAAGAATTAGTTTCCGTAGCCCAAAAGCTAGGGAAATACGTAGCCGTTTTCAAAAATATGCATTTTTCACAAAATGGCATCGATTTGAAAGGAAAGATACGTATTTTGCCCTAAATTTCGTTAATTAATGTTGCATAAAAAACGCGAATGTCAATACATTAAAAAAACTATACGTTTTTCGCTAGATAAACATATCACGAATAAAATAAGAAAAGAATCAAGACGATCGATTGAAAATTGGCGGAGCTAGAGTGCCCACCGATTTTTAAAATGCAGTTTTAAGAAAAACGCGTTTAAAGAATAAACGCGTAAACATTTTTTTTTGATTTTTTGAAAATTTCAAAGTGGTATAACCCCTTAACATCTTGGTCACAGAAAGTTATACATTCGAACCCGGAAATAGGGGGGAAAGGTGTATCCGGGAATTTAAGGTGTTACGATGTAGGTAACCCGAGAACTGTAGCTACTATCGGAACAAAAAATTAGTTGCCGTTTAATACAGCAGATGGGGGCACAGTCGATGAGGCCATAGAAAATAACGAATCCCGGGGATTTCTTGAATTTTACTTCGATCTCTTCATAATCATTCTACTGGAATAACATATGGAGTATGCAATTTCGTGTAATTTCCGATATAGAGTGCAACGGACAATGTAGACATAAATGTCGGTAACGTGGCACCTAGTTTCAAATACTCTGTCAGTTAGATGATATATTGGAATTCTTCTTTATCGACACCAATTAAATTCCTCGGCGCCTTTCACGTCACCTTAAGGTGATATGAAAGAGTTAGCCTATATATATCTGAGAAGTCAAAATGTTGGTAAAAGTATTCTCCGAATTGGATGTACCGATTTGTTTCAAATTTTACCACGTGAATATGGAGACTCTAAAGTAGGTCCTGAAACTCGTGAAAAATCATTTTTCGTAAAAAATTTATTTCAAATTTCAAATTTTACCACGTGAATATGGAGGCCCTAAAGTAGGTCCTGAAACTCATGAAATTTCATGTTTCGTAAAAAATGTATTTACTTATTATGGACTAGAACCAACATATCGTGGTCCGTGCACGTTTTCTATGTTTTACGCTTCTTGGAGGCTTAGAATCGAAAATGAAGAGTTTCAAGACCTAGATCGAACAATGTAAAATACCGTAGATATGGAATATTATAGAGTCAGATGAGAAAATATGGTAAATACTTTCGCCAACGATTGCAAGAGAATGCTGGCTTGTCCCGTGGCTAACGCGTGTTTTTAAAGCAAAAATTTAGTTGCAGCTAAACGTCATAGATGGCGACGTTGGTCCTAAAGAGTTGTTAGAATAACGAGTTCACGGGATTTCAACAGTTTTACATAGATCTCTTCATCGTTACTTTACCGAAATGACATATGGAACGCTTTAATTTGTATAATTATCAACGTAGACTGTAAAAGAGTTCAGCATAAATATAAATGTCGGTAACGTGACGCGCCAGCTTATATTACCGCTTGAGTATTCAAAATAACGTTACCACCAAAAAGGGTATAGATGAGTTTGAATTTATCGATCTTGATTAAATCTCTCAGCGCCTTTCGTATCATCTTAAACTTGCCAAGTTGCTATCCATGGGCTACGATGTGTACAGGTTTCGCGTAAAGGGTTGAGGCTGGCATCGAAGCAAAGGAACCGATGACTTTCAGGCTCGAAAGCTTGCCATCGATGAGCCAGGACGCATGCATGACTGGCCGCGGTGCAGCCACAGGCGAAGTCCATCTTTGAGTCTGGCAGCTGGCCAGTCCAAAGAGTGCCTGGTCAGTGACCAAAAGAGCACCTCTGACTGCGACGCTCAGTCAGTCCGACAGGCAGGGTGCGCCACCTTCGCATTCCCGAATGCAAGACTGTCGTCGGGACCCACCGACCCATTGCCGCAAAGAACCGTGGCGTTTAGCAACACTCCACTTAACTCTCGACAATTCCTTTCAGACGTTGAAGACGTCAAGTTCGTTATCAACTTTGACTATCCCTCGTGTTCAGAGGACTACGTTCACCGAATAGGACGCACCGGACGTCGTCAGAAGACCGGCACCGCGTACACCTTCTTCACGCCCAACAACTCGAACAAGGCCAATGATCTCATCCAGGTGCTTAAAGAGGCCAACCAGGTCATCAACCCCAAGCTCCTTGAGCTAGCCGACGGGCGAGGCGGTGGCTACGGAAGACACAGAGGTTAGTCATTCGTTAGTCCACGAGATCGTATTACGGTTACAACTTGTAGATCGTAGGTAAAGAATTCATATCTCCCATAGAAGCCCAGATCCTGTGTTGACGCTTGGTGCTTCGAAGTTGGCTAACAAATCAGGACTGGGGATAAAAGGGATCGCATGTGTCAGCCAACGGCATCTCATATGTGCCCATAATTATGAAAGTGGTCTAAGTCATATATTTTTTGTTTCGAAATTACATTGAATTAATTTCGTTTGAAATAATAATCTCGTGAAATAACTGACAAACTCATTTTTTGTTTTAATTTTGACTTAGATCACTTTCATAATTATGGGCACATATATGGTAGGAAGGGAATGGCGGGATGTACAGGATAGCAGAAATGCTGGACACGGTTTATACAGCGCTATCCTTGTTGAAAAAGGAGTCGAAAAGTCCTGTACTGTTTTTTTTTCTACGGTGCATAATTTTCCTGTAATAACTAATTGACTTACAGCCAATGAATTGTGTTCCTCAATGGAACGCATGGGGGAGAGGACGCTGTTAAGGTGAAGTGAAACCTGCTTCAAATCAGTCGATTCGAATACAACACTTTTTTTTAAGGGCATTAGACCAAACTGACCAAAACTTTGACACGTCACTCCTGATCATCTAAGAATTGTCCTGACACATTCAAAATTTGGATTTTTTAAAAAAACTTTTTAACTCAGCCCGTACCAGAACCAAAATGGCGTCGAGCTTTCATATTTCGATCAATATACAATTATCGAGCGCTCTGATATGAGAATCGAGAGAGTCAGGACAATTTTACGACAATTTAGAACACTCTGGTAATCGATAAACTCGCATTTGAACGGGATAAAGGCAAAAAAAGTGTTGTATGCACTTCTATGCTAAAACGATGGTAGTACGAGGTCTTGGAGTGAAAATTTAATTCACCTGGAAATCACAGATGGCGCAGGGGGGGCCCCAGAAAGCATGAATCCAGAGGATTTCTGAGTTTTACTTCAATTTCTTTATAATTATTGTACGAAAAGGACAGGTGGAGTATGCCATTTGGTACAATACCCAATATAATTCGACACAGCTGTCAATATAAAAACGAACGTGGCAATGTAGGCATTTAGAAAAATCTTCTTTATCGACGTCGATCAAGTTCCTCGACGTGTTTCACTTCACCTTAAGGCTGTTACGCCGTAGACAACCGAACGCTGCCTTAACCGGCGTGCTCTCCGCCATGCATTCCGCCAGGGAACACGATTGATTGATTGGGATTCGATTAGTTATTATAGGAAAAGATAGTACAGGACTTTTCGACTCCCTTTTCAACGAGGATAGCGTTGTATAAACCTTGACTACCAGTTTTGTTACACCCTGTATATCGGCATAAAATTAAAAGTCATAGAGATGATTACAGCGTCGCCATCTGTCGGCTGACATACTATTTCTCGAGCATCCAACGTCCGGATGTTTCTGGGCTTCTATGGGAATTTCTGAATTGTTTGTCGTTCCGCTTCGATCTTTATTGATGCCCGGTTCCACCAAACTCGGTTAAATCATTGATTCCCTAACCATAGGTTAAAGTTAACGTCTAAGTTAATCGTAGGTTAAAAACGTAAACGTTCCTCCACATTTATTTAAAGCGCAATTAACTAATCGTATACACCATTCGAAGTAAGCTGAATTGTCGGTTAACGTGTTCGCGTGATTGGCTGACACTCCGATCGACTAGGAAGGAAACATTCCCAAGTGTCCACCCCCGATCTTATTGATTTTCATATATGTTGAAGAACACAAAAATCTAAGAGATACGTGTTTTTTTATATCTACAATGATCCACATTTAAGGAGAGAAACAACCCCCCAAAGTTTGGCGAAAATTCGATTTTTATAACAATTTTCGTAGAAGCAATGGAGGGATTTCGACGAAACTTGGTATAAACGTATTCTGTATAAGGATGGTGAAAGCACAATATTGTCCAGCAATGCTACAACCCCCCATGGGGGTGAATTACCCTTCAGGCGACATTTTTTTCTAATATCTATTAAACAAGCACTCCTACTTAAGATCCACTTACGCCATACGATTGCTCACAAAAAATGAAGAAATACGTGTTTTTTGCTTTTTGCCAATAAACATTTACACATCGGTTGTAAACAATGAATGTAGGTGGTATACAGGTATATTTCGACTAGCTATATTGGGTTATATCGTAACCAATTCATTGTACCTAAATCTTGTAAACGTGCTAATTCCTCAAAATATCGTTGGTTTTCATAGCATGCAATTATTTATAAATAAATTAGAAAAAAAGTTTAAGAGACTAAAATAGTTTCGCAACAGATCCGATGACGCAGTCATCACCCGTTTCCAACTAGTAATACAATCTCCTTGGTGAAACGGTAAAATTGGATTTTTACTGTTTTTACGATAATAGAGTTAGCGATATTCGTAAATAATTGCATATTATGAAAACCAACGACATTTTGAGGAATTAGCACGTTCACAAGATTTATATACGATGAATTGGTCACGATATAACCCAATAAACCTAGTCGGAATATACCCGTATATCACCTACATTCATTGTTTACAACCGATGTGTAAATGTTTATTGGTAAAAAGCAAAAAAAACGGATTCTTCATTTTTTGTGAGCAAGCACATCGCGTAAGTGGAACGTAAGTAGGAGTGCTTGTTTATTAGATATTACAAAAAAATGTCACCTGAAGGGTAGTTCACCCCCTTGGGGGGTTGTAGCATTGCTGGACAATATTCTGTTTTCACCATCCTTATACGGAATACGTTTATACCAAGTTTCGTCGAGATCCCTCCACTGCTTCTACGAAAATTATTATAAAAACTGAATTTTCGCAAAACTTTGGGGGGTTGTTTGACCCCTTAAATGTGGGCCATTGCAGATATAAAAAAACACGTGTCTCTTAGATTTTTGTGTTCTTCAACATATATGGAAATCAATAAGATCGGGGGCGGACACTTGGGAATGTTTCCTTGTAGGAAGCAAGAAAGATGCGCCCTTGTAGAGACACGAAGTCCCACTAGCTTCATGCAAGAACTTATTTAACAGATGTTAGCCCTAAGAAGTAAAGTTCTTTGGTTATGAATTAATATAAAATATTTTCAAACGTACTTCGATCATAAAGAAATTGCAAATAAAATCAACAACGTCTTCATCCGTTTCGTCATAAAATATGTGAAAAAATTAAATAATGAAATAATGTGAATAAATACTCACTCAAATCCATGTTTTCCTCACGTTCGTGCAGTTTTGAGGTTAAAGTTTGATTAAATGAAGCTAAACGATCTAATTTTGTTGGTTAATCTAAACGGCGGTTAATGGAAATTAACCTACCGTTAAAATGTGGTGGAACGTGCATCTCGCTGTAACCGAGGGCTAGCTTTTTGACTGAAGTTGGTAGAACTGAGCATGACTCCGCCTTTTCTTTACGGGGATACGAAAGTGGCCACTCGGGCATTAAATTATTTAGAAAACTTTTCTCCTAATTGGGTGAATCAAATCATTTGAAATGTTACCGCGTGAATGCGAAGACCCCAAGGAAGGTCTCTACACCCATAATATTTCATTTTTTCTTCATTTATTTATTCCAGACTAGAGGTAAAGTGGCGTCGCTAACGAATGATTTATATTTTACACCTTTTGAGAGCATAGAATCGGAAATAGAGGTTTACAGGACTTTCTCATGACGATTTAGAGCTCTGTAGTAATCGAGCCTTATGAATTCGTGTGAGAAATATCGAGAAAAGTTTTATAAATGTGTGTAGTGAAACTCTCGGATATCCCGTAAGCAACAAATTTTCTCTAAATACTTTTAGAGTAAAACTTTAGTTGCAGTCAAACGCGATAGATGGCGCCATTAAATGATTAGAGCATCAAAAATCATTAATCCAGAGAATTTCTTGAGTTTGATTTCGATCTTTATAGTCATACTGAAATGAGTAATGGAGTACTTCATTTTATATAATTCCGAAGGTAGAGAGTAACCGATTACACTCCAGATTAACGTAATATAAACATAAATGTCGGTAACACGAAGCACCATCTTATTAGACCACTCGAGTATCCAAAATGGGGTTATCGCTGAAAAGGATATGCATGAATTTCATTTTATCACCGTCGATAGAGTTTCTTGGCACTTTTCGTATCATCTTAATACCAGCACTAGTCGTTTAAAGAAAAACAAGTGCCCAGTAGAGCTGTGTTTAGAGTAAAGAGCCACATCGCTCAGTAAGTCCATGAACTCGTCGGAAATACTACCGCGTCCGTTAATGATCAGGAGCAACGTTCCTGACGTTTTTTGAACGTGTTTCCAGGTGGCAGGAACAGATGGCGCTCGCGCGGCGGCCGCGGCGGTAACGGACGGGAGCGCAGCTACTCGCGCAGCCGCAGTCGGAGCCCGAGCCGGGAGCGGAACGGCCGCGGTGGGACCCGTCGTAGCTACAGCCGTAGCTACTCGAGAAGCCGCAGCCCGGTTAACAATCGTACAGGCAAGTCCCCAGGGAGTCCCGGCGCCGGGGGGGGCCCCGCCCCGAGCCCGCCACCCACACCCACGGTCCGCATCGACCTCCGACCGCCACCACCGCCGCCGCCGCCGCCCCCCTCCACGCCCCCGCCTCAAGGCGTCGCCTCCAAACCCCTCGCCCCCAAACAGTCCCCCCGCCGACGATCGCCTCCCCACCTCGAACAGGATCAACAGCAACGACAACGGCAGCAGCAGCACCAACAGCAGGACCAGCAACTCCAGCAGCGGCATCAGGGGCAAGTGCAGCCTCCCTCGGATCAACACCAGCTGATGTCGCAGCAAGACCAGCAAAGGCAGTCTCCCCACCTCCTGTCCGGTCATCGGCAGCAATCCCCCCACTCCTTGCCCGGTAACCAAGAACACGCCCCCCACTCTTTGCCAGCTAACTTCCAGCCACCCCTCCATTCTCTGCCCGGCAGCCAACGCAAACGGTCCCCCCACTCCCTAAGCCACCAGCAGTCCACCTCGTTGCCCAGGCAACCGGCGGCCCCCCCGCTGCCGCCTCTACCCGCTCAACCCCCTCTTCCTCCGTCTCATCCTCCCCCTCCCCCGCCGCCGCCCCCTCCGCCNCCCCCACCGCCCCCCTGGCGGGGGCGGGGGCGGCGGGCTCCCCGGGCCAAGGTTGGGCGCGGCCAACGCGGGCGGAGGTTATCAACACTACGGGGGCGGCCCGACCCCCGTAGGCGGGGGCGGCTGCCAGCACGCGCCCCCGCCCCCGTACTACCAGCCGCCTCCGCCGCCCGTCCACCCGGCCAACGGGTATCATCGCTAGCGGCGCTGCCACGGCTCTGGCGCGTGCCCACAAGGTTGGTTCTGATCTCCTCCCCCACCCCCTTCCGCGGCTCCCTCCCCGATGACACCCGGTTGGTATTGGCGGCGACCCGGCGAGTGCGCCCGCTTCTCCGCGGACCGATGCTCGAAATCGGTCCGCGAAGCATCGGGGCTAGAGTAGGATCGGCAGTAGGCGATCCGCGAACGTCGGCCGGACATTTCTGTGATACCGGTGACGGCACCGATACGGTGGAAGGGCGACTCGGAGATTTTCGTACCGTGTCCTTGTCCTCTATGGGAATGATGTGCGAGGGGTATATTTTTAGATTTCAAGATCCGTACTTATACGGAAATGTATGAATACCCCGGTATAAAATGTCCGAAGACGTTATTTCCATGTATGCGCGAACGTGCACTGTGCGTATATTTCTGAATCAGCCTTAATTTTGGGACTTGCGTGGGCATTCTATTAGTTAACCTAACCTCTGCTAGGAGCGCACGTAAACCGCACTTCCATCTCCAGAGAGGTTCGGTTACTCCGTTACTCCGATGGAGTGGTCCCCGTTTGGGCACAGCATAGGACACGCAATCATTGAATACATTAGCTGTGGCATCCCTTCATATTGGATACGTAGTTCATGGCATGTTTCGCCTTTGAAATCATAGAAATGCCCGCCTTTATGCCATGGGTTTGCCGAGATACTGTCCTTAGGAGCATGACTAACCCAAGTAGAAACGATTGTCCCTAGGATCCCGAACGCGAGACCTGCCACGAATTGGGGACGATGTGAAGGATTGCCACAGCTGATGTGTCGAATAACTCTGCGTTCTGTGCTTTATGTTGAAAATGGGTCTATGGTGGAGTGGGTCCCTCCCATCTTATGTAAGATGCCGGATACACATCTGAACGCGAATCCGTACGAGACAAGGTGAGGCAGAACAAATGCCTCGTACTCATATCTCTCTACGCGGCAACGAACAAAATCGTCCGAGGCATTGAACGGACATCTTGACGAACGACATTCGAAAAGCCTTGTATAGCGTATCGAATGATCCGAGGCGATTTGCCGCACTTCTATTGATTGTCTACCCTTGTATTTTCCCTTTGCTTCATACGCGATCCTGCTCAGATGTGTATCCGGCTTAAAGTGAAGTGAAACCCTCCCCTCAAATCAGTCGACTCGAATAAAACACTTTTTCTTAAGGGCGCTTACCACTCTAGCGATTTTGCAGGGCCTCACAAGGACAACGATTCCGAACGTATTTCTAAACCGATCGAGCTTAACGAGTGCTCATATCGAAGATGAAATGTTGGCCTGTGTTCATATGGGAGCGATTTTCGATAAGTGGTCATTTTCATATAAAAAAGTGCAACGACATAATTTCAATGCCCTTTTACCTAGGAAGGAGGTGCTCGATCGAAAATCGCTCCCATATAAACACACGTCAACATTTTATCTTTAAAACGAGCACTCGTTGGGCTCAATCGGTTGAGAAATACGCTCAAAATCCTTGTCCCCGTGGAGCACCTTTATCGGGATTTTCGGGTTTCTCGCGAGGAATTTGGGCATTCCTTGACAACCGTTGCCGACTCTAGGCGGAGCGCCCAACTGGCGTGTGCGGGCGGCCGGGCGTCACTCACGTTCCGGCGCCTAGTCCAGAGGCGTCTAGCCGTTGTTTTTGATTCCTATAGGTGCAAAATACGCACACATTTTTCGCCCGTTGCTAAACACCGTCCATTATGCGTCGCGTCTCCCTCATCCGAACGAGAAAGTACGGTTTGGTTACCTCCCACCGAATTCGATGCTAATGCCATCTAGCGGTGGAAGTCATCGTCCCCACTTTGGTGGTGAACGCCGTTAAGGGTATTGGATCGAACTGTCCGAAATTCTGAGACATGACTCGTGGCACCTAGAAATTAGCCTGTCACTTTCAAAATTTGGATTTTTGAAAGAATTGTTTAAGGCCAGACCAGATTCAAAATGACGTCGAGCTCCGATATTTCGATCCATATACAATTATTGCAGGCTCTAATATGAGAAACGAAAGTCTAAGGACAATTGTATAACAATTTAGAACACTCTGGTAATCGAGAAATTCGCATTTGAACGGGATAATGGCAAAAACAGTGTCTTATGCACTTCTGCGCTAAAACGATGGTAATATGAGGTCTCGGAGTTAAAATTGAGTTGACACGGAAATCATAGATGGCGCAGGAGGTCACTTTATAGTAAATTGGGGCCTCAGAAACCATAAATCCAGAGGATATCTGGAGTTTTACTTCGATTTCTTTATAATTATTGTACGAAAACGACACATGGCGTATGCCATTTAATACAACACCCAATATAATTCGACGCAGCTGTCAATATAAAAACGAACGTCGGCAACGTAGGTATTTAGAAAAATCTTTATCGACGTCGATCAAGATCCTCGACGTGTCTCACTTCACCTTAAGGTGATGTGAAAACGGTATCTGGGAGGTAAATAGTTTTTGAAACTTTTCTTCTAATTGGGTGGACTGGATCGTTTCAAATTTGATCACGTGATTGTAGAGGCCCTAAGGTAGAACTTTACACACATAAGATTCCATTTTTTTTTCTATTAAAAATAAAAAATAAGATATGTTAAAAATCTCAGGATCTACCTTAGGTCCTCCATATTAACGAGGTAAAATTTCAAATAATTCGGCACATCCAAATTGGAGAAAAGTCTCAAATGAGACCCGTCAGATGCCCCTTTCGCATCACCTTAAGGTGATGTGAGAAGTGGCGTCAAATATGTCTGGTTTATGAAACTTTTCTATGAACTGGGTGTACCGAATCGTTTCAAACTGTACAATGTGAATGTAGTGGATATAAGGAAGGTCTTGAGATCCATGAAATTTCAATTCTTAGAAAATTTGTTTATAGATATTTTTAAAAATTGTTTTAAAAAATGAAATTTCACGGGTATTAGAACCTTCCTAATCGCCTTCTTATTCATGTTGTAAAGATTCAACCGATTCGGTACCCCCAGTTCGAAGAAAAGTTTGATGAACGATTGACTCCTAACATGCCACTTTCACATCCCCTTAAGGTGATATGAAAAAGAAATTCTATATATATGAAACCGTGAAAATATTTATAAAACTTTTTTCCAAACTGGGTGAACTGAATGATCTGAAACTGTAACACGTGATTATGGAGGCCCTAAGGAAGAATGCGATGTTCGTGAAATTTCAGTTTTTGAAAAACAATGTCTTTTTTTTATTCTTGTCCGAGATAAATACACTTTTCTTTTCTTTTTTTTTTTTCCCCGAAAAATGACATTTCACGAGCATCGGGTTCTTCCTTAGAGCCTCTATAATCTCGTGATGAAGTTTCAAATGATTCGATGCCTCCAATTTGGAGAAAAGTTTAATACATTTTTTAACTTTCGGTATGTACATATGGCACTTTCATATCACTTTAATGCAAGGTGATCTTATCATTGATAGCAAATAGATGTGCGGTTTGTGTAGATGGATCGCTAGTCGGTAGATGGCAGTATAGGAGATATTGATAGCGGTTCCTTGTTCAAACCCTATAGGAAAAACGTTGATAAAATCGGCATCATCGCTGCTGACGTCACATGTATCTCGATTGGAGGATACCACGATATCCTGATAACCTGTCTTCACAATACGATGTTCTACCCTTGTCGAATTCCATTAGATTCTATGAACGGTCCAATTAGGTCAATGCTGTTACGGTGAAACACCGAAATCTGGAGAATGTCGACTTTCACCGGTGAATATCAACATTCACACAGTCGCTTCGTGTATGTCCGAAATATTTGCTAAATACCCTTATTTCTGACTTACACCGGTAAATGTTGACATTCACCGGTGTGTGATTGTCGACACACACTGGAGAGGGTCCGAATATACAACAATGTAACGAAATATTCGATCTTTCACCGACGTATTTGGTATCTGTTCACATTCACCGGTGAAAGTCGACATTCTCCAATTTCGGACATTGACGGTAACAGATACAGTGTTACTGTACGAAGTAAATTATCGGCATCGAAGGTTGCGCCGATAACTGTTTCTATCTCTCTCACATTACATACTGACACGTACACACATACAGGGAGTATCTTAAGGTATTACTTCCCTAGTAATCGGACTCAAAAGTTAACTCGTTCGGGGATGTATCGACCAGTGAGTTC